CTGAAAGAGTAAGATCCAAAATGTACAAGAGATATTGTAAAATGGGAAGAAACTTCAAAAGAAAGAGAAACTGGGATAGGAGAATGGAGAAAAGGAAGGGAAAAGCAAAAACATATGTATTTACATATATATATTTATATGATAGTTAAAACAGTTATACTACTAGTTTATCTTAGTTCATTAAAAAGAAAGGGTTATGCTAATATTGCTTGGACAATTAAATGCCAATGTCTTGTACTCTGGGTAACTAAGGATAACAATACACTATGTATTAACCATTATTACCCTCCTATTATCTCGTTTTGAAATTTTTATTTTCCTGTTTAAAATTTAAAAAAAAAAAAAAGCAGTATCACCTTCCCTTCATTGACAAACTGGAGGCCAAGCAATCCCCCTCAGAAAGCAGTGGTCCTGACACTTCCTTTCCTTTGGATGTTATCATTATTTATCTAAAATATCCCAGTAACATTACTTTTTTAAAGCAGCAGTACTCTTGTGACACGAAGATCACTTTATTTTCACAGGCACTGGGTGGGCGGATTTGTACAAAGAATGAGCCGCCGCACAAGGCTGAAATGACTTCTCCTGTGACATTCAGCTTCTCTGTCACTTCTTTTCCTTCTGGGACGCTGGTTACTGTGGTCCCTGCTCGGCTTTGTCTGTCTTTTGTCAAGCTCTTCCCCGGGCGCTGCTACAACACAGTCTTGTAATTACGCGGGAACGACGGACGTCTGGCTCTCTGATAGGACAGGCATCTTCTAGAGCCACCCAGTCAGGTTCTTAACACCCAATAGGCCTGATTTCTTAACTCTGAATATTAAAATTATATATAATGCGTGTAATTCCACATTTAAAAAAAAGTGAAGTGCACTCTGAAGACAGATTAAAGTTGGGGAGGTGTGTTTGTGCTCTCAGCTTCTGTCCCACAAACGTCTAACCCCAAACCTCCCGCCCCCGCGTCCCTTTGCCCCGGGTGCCAGCCGCAGGCGGGGCACCACTTAAGAACAACTCTGAAATCCTAGCGAACAGCAAGAGACCAGGCATCCTGAGTTCACTGCAGCTTTATTGTAGCACGAATCCTTGGGAGAGTAATTCTTAAAACGCGAAGAATGAACATACTTGAAAAGAGGAGCATTTGTGACTAATGTTTAAAGACTGAATTTTCCCTCGAACCCACAAAAATAATGCTAAGAAGCTGCTTTTCTGGGGGGTGGGGCAGTCCTGTTTCCCTTGGATGTTTATTTCCCTGTACCTCTCCGAGATGGCTGTTTCCCTTAACAGAGTCCAGAAACGGACACTTACGACGCGTAACGTAAGACTGGTGCTTACTGTATTTGCTCTTCTCAAGAACCCCGATTGACCAGTCTGAAACTCAATACACAAGTCAGGAAATGTGAGTCAGCGTAACGGTTGTTCAGGGTGGTAAAATGGTTCATACCAGACCCCCAAAGATCCGCTTTGCATCTGCTAAAGAAAGGTTACTCTGAAGAGGATAAGGCCTCTACAATATAATTTGCATAGAAGATCCTTGATATAATACCACCAAATCAATTATTTCAGTTCTGGAATATGAGATTCACTCAGTTGTATTAATACGGCCAGGCCAAAATAAACATCCATACTGTAATCCATAGAAATTATATACAAGCCAGTTTTAATATTTTATTATAAGCCTGAACACCCAGCCATATAATGGCCAACCTATGTACTAACATCATTGAGAACTATGAGGCAGACCTTTACAATTACAGTATTAAGACTATTTAACATAGAAAAATACTTATACCGTATGTTAAATAAAAAGCAGAACCAATTTCTATATTTTCCATTATTATAACTATAATTTTTCCTCAGCACTTTGGTTCTAGGACCCCTTCAGATAATAAATCAGACGTTCCCAGTCTCTTACGTAAAAGGGTGCAGTATTTGTATATAACTGGTGCACACCCTCTGTATACCTAAAATCATCCCTACATTGCTTATGCCTAATACAATGGAAATGCTATGCAAACAGTTGTTATACTATAGAGTAATGACAAGAAACTTCTGCACACGTTTAGTAGATTTGACTTTTTACAAAATATTTTTATCTGCAGTTATAGTAGTCGAATCCACAGACACAAATCCCCAAAATATGGAAGACCAATGGTATGTGGTTAAAAACCTACAAGAAAAATATCAAAAATGCTAACGTTCATTGCATTCAGGATAGAACTACAGATTTTATCCACAGATTTTTTTTCTTCCAAGGTTTTTTAGGGAGGTTGTTTTGTTTTGAGACAGGGTCTCACTGTGTAGTTTAGGCTGGCCTTAAACTTACTTACATAACACAGGCTGGCTTCAAACTCACAGTGATCCATCCTGCTGCCTCAGCCTCCCCAGTGTTGGGATTACAGGTATCTGCCACCACACCTGGCCTCTTTCAGGTTTTATAGTTTTTTAAATTTTTGAAAACCTTTATAGCCGGGCATGTTGGTGTGTGCCCGTAATCCCACCACTCAGGAGGCTGAGGCAGGAGGATCGCTGTGAGTTCAAGATCAACCTGGGCTACAAAGTGAGCTCAAGTTCAGCCCGAACTGCATAGCAAAACCCTGTCTCAAAAAACACACAAAAAAAAAAAAGAAAGAAAGAAAGAAAAAAGAAAATCTTTATAATGGGAAAAATAGATTTAAAACAAACTATTTTTTGGTTGGCATGCTGACATTCACAACTACCTGGTGCTGGTCTACAATAAAGTTTTCAGAAGAAATTAAATACTTCAGATTTTGGACTTTTTATCTGTTGGACTATCTGCACATATATTCTTGGTGACTGACCCAAGCCTGCACATGAAATCTGTTTCATATAAGCCAGCTACACATACACTGAAGGTGGCTGTATACAAAATGTTTAGTGCGTCCGTGTTTTGACTGTGACTTGTCTTTTAAGGTCTGGGGTAGAATTTTCCACTGGTGGTACCATGTCAGATACAGAAAAAAGTTTTGGACACACAAGCTTAAATATCACATGGTTTCTCACACAAGAAATCCAAAATATAAATAAAGAGCAAAATAAAAGATAAATAGGAAATAGATCGCTCTTTTGCGAAAGGGTAGGGGACCGGAAGATGGAGGTGGGGGAGGCAGGGGAGGGGACGAGAAGGACTTGGATGTGTTATCTCCTCACACCCACTCCCCACGGGGAACAGTCACTATGCAGTGCAGACACGTACCAATAAAAATTTAATTTGAAAAAAAAAGCACCCTTCGGTGATGGGGGGGGCAAGTTTTGGATTTTGAAGCATTTCAGATTTGGGGTTTTCAGTGTGTACCCGATTGGTCTGAGAAAGTTTTAGGTAACATTTCAATCTCTATTAAAATTTCCACACCAGAGTGCAGAAAGACAAGGGAAGAAGGCGATGGGGCATATCTCAAGAAAGTACACCACCAAACCTTCAGAACTTCACGTAAGCAAATCAGAAAATAACAGAAACTGCAGAGGTCGCGGGACACGGGCTACAGAAACAAGCATACCTCTCCAGGCCACTGGAGAAGCGGTGTTCTCTTTCTTCTTGAAATTCCCCAAGGAAAATGATTCCTCAGCCACGTCCAGAAACATTTCTGGAAAAATACCCAAAGTTCTCAAAATATAAAACCTCTTTACAAAAGCCTAACAAGTTGTAGCTGAAAAGGGACACAGACTCCCACATACGTTAGTTCAAATTCAAACTCAAGTTATTCATCTATAAAATGCAGCCAGTGTCGCTTACATTAATGGATCATAATCAGAATTAAGGAAGACACTGGTAAAGCTCCTGAAACAAAAGACAGTGCTACCTTCCTGTTTCTATCTTTCCTCTCTGTCAGAGTTTCTTACAGTACAGAAATCATTATCATGCCAGAATGACTACTACAAAGGCCAATTCCAGAACTCCTGGAGGCACAGACCTTAATTCTGCACTTTATCAAATATTACAGGCTTAAATATTCATATATTTACTACCTTTGTCCTCTTTAGATTCAGAAAACAGTGTTAAAAACTTTTCCCCTTAAAAATATTAGATGATCCTCAAGGACAAGAAAGGAAGATCTTAGGCACTCTGTTCTAAGTTTTAAAAAAAATTCTTTGATCCAGTCTTCTTAGGAAGACTTCTCATACTTTAAACATCCATCTTCAGCTCTAAAACTTCCTCAGTTTCCTCACATGTGCAGTAGAGACAACTAATATTAGACCACAGTCTATCACAGTTCAAAAGTAAGAGTGCTTAATAAGTGATCTCAGATCAATTAAATTCATTTACACTGGACAAGATAAAATCAAATAAAATCGGCAATTCAATTACTCTTCGTAGGCAAAGCGTCTTTTTTACTTCCAAGTATGAATGTGAATGCCTTATATGCAAATCAAGAAATATCTGTCATGGGTTTTTATATCTAATTGTACTAATGACTAATTAGATTCTAATTTCTAATTTTGATATGTAGGTCAAAATAACCAAGGAGCAAATACCTGAAATTAGTGGAAAGGTCTACAACTTTATAACAGTATTCTTTACATAAAAGTCAATTCTTAAAAGCCTCAAACTTCAGAACATAAAAATAAACTTTTATTTACAGATTCCCCCTTCAGTTCCAAAAGTGATTATTCCAGAGTAAGTATTCAACACATAAAATTTAGCTGAATCAAGTAAGAAATAATCATTCAATCCAAATATCAATTCAAAACACAGACATTATACATACTAGTCTATTTCCCTTCTGCTTCTTTCCTAGATAAAAACAGAAAATTGTTAATATCCTCACTATAAAACTCAGACCAAACACAATGGCCTTTTCAAGTAATTCAGAAAAGGTAGACGAAGAGAACCCCCTGAGACATGGTGTCTTCACTGTTACAGGAGCCTCCGACCGTAAGCCCTAATTCACTCCCCGAAGACGGACCACTTGTGCTATTCACAAGGATCTGTTCAACTTCCTGTACCAGATAAGCTACACTCTACTGTCAATAAAATCTGTCCCTTCCATTTACATCGGACTACTTCTTTCACATTTTAGTAATCTCCACTCCCAAGAGAAGCTAGTTGAAATACACTCCTTGGCATCTTTGGTTACAGAGGGGACACACTGTGTGTGCTGTTAATATGCTTCTACCATGGCTAAGTTTGGAAGAAAAAACCCTCCAGGTAGATATAAATGTAGCCTGTACTGACTAAGCTCCTTGCAGTTCATGTTATAAAGCACAGACCCCTTTGAAATTTTGTACATACTGGTAGTAGCCGCCCCACCGTGAGGCCACCCACGCACTGTCTGTAATGCAGATAGTCGGGAAGGTCCCTGAACGGGATTCCTGTCTCCGCCAGGGCAGGCTAGGTCTCCGAGGGGCACACAAAGGACAAGAACATGTCCAGCTGGTTCTTCACGATCACGTCATCGGGGTGCAGCTTGTGGGGTAGGTAATGGGCCAGGGTCATCTCCCACGCGTCAACGAGATACACACCAACGCCTGAGAACATCCTCCGGAGGATAGTGTCCAGCTGAAGGTTGTACCAGTCACTGTTGAAGAGGCTCACCTCAGGACCCAGCTCTTGGGCATTGGCTGTCCGGATGACCACTACGGTCTTCGGGCTTCGGTCCAAGAGCTGGACCACCGCTCTGCGGATGTTCCGGAGCCGCCGGATGTACACTTCCCAGGGGAAGGTGCTGAAGTGAGACCACACGGCTATGGCAACCACCGTGTTCTTCCCGCCCACGATCCCGCGCAGCTCGTTCGCCACGTAGCGCAGCTCACTGCTGAAGACGGTCGTGAAGCGGATGGGCGGGCCGTGGCAGCGGTACTTGAGCAGGATGTTGTGCTTCTGGTCCACTGCCAGGAAGGGACCCACATTCTTGGGACTACCCAAGTTAAACTCCACCAAATCTGAAACAAGAAAAAGCCAATTTCACGAAGACATTCAAACGAAGCTCAGGTATTCTGAATGTTTATAAGTCACTCAGAGAATAGTTCTTAAAATTAAGGTACAATAAAACATTATTAGACAAATATAAAGGAAATATCTATTTCCCTGCTGCCCGTAACATGTCATTATAGGTAATACCATCACTGACAGATTCCGTACCTTTGCCTCTGCCTCAAAAAAGAACCTGTTTACCTCTATTTAGCAAAAAAAAAGTCTTGGTATTTGAATATTTGACATTTTAAAAGCAAACTGGCATTTACACTTCACTCTTCTAACAGATACACCTTCCAGGGTCAGGGCTGGGCCTTCTGCTTTATTAGCACATGCCGGTAACCGACACCTCCCTGAAAATCCAGTCATCTGCAACAACACAGATGAACCTGGGGGACATTAAATAGAATAAGCCAAGCACAGACAAAGACTGCATGACCTCACTTGTACGTGGACTCTAAAAATGCGGAACACTTGTAGCAAGTAAAAACTCACCAGAGGCCAAGGCGCTTGGCGTGGGCTGGGGGGGCTGGGGGGATGCTGACGGCTTCAGTGAGGAGGATTAAATTTCTGAGATCTACCGCACAGCATGAAGACTGCAGTTAATAATAATGTATTACATATTTCAAAACTGCTAAAAAAAGTAATCTTAAATGTCAGTACAATTAAATATGTGAAGTGATATATTTGGTAATTAGCTTGATAGAACCATTCCGTAATGTACACATATATCAAAGCATTACACTGTACCTATAAATACATATGGTTATCAATTAAACTTTTTAAAATAAAAATAAAGCAATCTGAATTATAATTCTAAAAAAAGCAAGTCTCTTCTTCTGGAGTAAGTGAAAGAAGGAATTCTGTTTCTTTTAACTTTAAATTTTACCCTACGGTGGAAAAATCGTATTAATGCCCTACAGAACATCGGTCTCTATCATGAGAAATAACAAAGGCAAGGCACAATTCAGAACTCCCTTCCCTTCCTCTCCCTTATTGTATTTCAAGATCCAGTTCCTCTAAAATGTTCCGAATCACCCAGGAATCACTGGGACCCCTTTGTTTCTCCTAAAAAGCTCGTACAATTCATCACTTGAAATACGCCCCAGGAGGGAAGAGGATCTGTCTCGTGACCCTGAGTGTTCCAAAAGTGCCTTAGAGAAAAGAGCAAGTAAATGTTAGCAACGTGAGTCCTCTGGCATTGGACCACTACTGCAAGTACTACAAACCACAGGATGTCCCAGTCCCTGTCCTCCCCTGTCCCTCCCCTCAGCTTATGGTCAATTCTGAAAAGGCTGGATCACACTGTAACTGTCTCGTGTTCTTAATGGTTCAAGCAGGTTTCACTTTTTTCTCCTGCAATCCCAGAATTCTCGTCCAGATTTCCCTATCTGATTCATTACTACTTAGTATCCAGCCCTACTTAAATGGCACTAAAGCTCAAACTACCACTTTCTTTTGATTAAGATCAAGCACCCACACAAGGCTTTATCAGATGAAAATATTTCTGTAAAGGGTCAGGTGGAAAACAATCAAAGCCATCAATGTGATCACTGCCTATAGTGGAAATACCAAACTACATCATAAGAAATTAAGAAGCAAGCAACTACAGCCACCTGAAAGCCCTGCCTACTCAGCATCCAACCATGCCCAGCACCACGCCCAGCTTCTCTTTTGATTCTGAATTTGTTTTATCAAACAGAACTCAACTATGTCCATTTCAATAAAAAACAAATAAAAGTGCAATTGGCTTTTCCTTTTAGGATAGTATCTACATCTTCCTTTCCTTCTAAACATCAAATCTGAAAGTAAGTTTATGTCGTAAGTAGGAGAGCTGATGAAAAACATCACAACAACAATTCACAGCAAACCATGGGGATTTAATTTATGAAAAGCCCTGCGCATACATAACTACACAGAACAGTTCTCACAAACCTATCAGTTTCTTAGGGCCCACCCCTCCTTACCACTGCCAGAAAAAGAAAGCCTGCTGTGCATAAGGGGTGGGCTTCCAACCAGGGAGGTTTTGCTCTGCATCTGGACAGCAGTCCCACAGCCGAGCAGAGAGATCAGGATGCTAAGAGCCCTGGAACTCACCGAGACTCCCGCAGTAGGAGCCAGCTCTGGCTCAGAGCACACCGCCAGAGGCCCAGCGGGTGGCTCAGCTACAAGGATGCACTAGAGTAAACCACGGTAAGTCTGGCTACTTCCTTCCGGTTTAATCTACTACAATCTGGAACTGAACCAACCAGAGCTTAAAGAAACAACTAGAAGTGTCCATCTCTATTGTATAACCCAGAACATTAAAAGTCAAAGACACCTGCCCCCACTGTCTCATCTCACAGGGAAAAATGAAGTCCTGAGAGGTAAATGGCCTATCCAAAGTCACACAGTTGGGGCTGGGGATTTAGTTCAGTGGCACACCGTCTGCCTGGCAAGTGTGAGGTCGTGAGTTCGATTCCTGGTACAGGAAAAAAAACCAAAGTCACACAGTTAATCAGGGATTCCCCCAGAACAGCAGTCCCACTACTTACCAGAAACTGTCGCACTTCTCTCCCAGGTTAGGACACCATGTTAGTCCCACCTGGAAATAACTGCTTCCTCACAAGACGCCTTTCTTCAGGCACCAGCATGAGCCTACTTATTTCAGACCTGATCGCATGCGTGTGGGAAGTACTTATGAAAACGGCGCAGGACCAACCTGGGACAAATGCTGTGAGGTATTCAAACCACTGCCTGATTGTGGAGTCACCGAATAAGTACACTATCTTCCTCTGCAAGCATTCCGTAATGTTGTCGGGGTCATTAAACTGCCGCATCTTAAACGCTCTGGGTCTCCACTGGTCTTTGTAATAATACCCAGAAGGGAAAGTTCCTGAGGCTTGAGATACTTCCAAGTTGTACGTTTCTGTAAAGAAAAAAGGAAAAATAATATGTCATTAAATTCTCCTCCAATAATATATGAAAAACATTCCAAGAAATACCATTATGTCCACGTACGTGTTAGCTTGCTAGCACACGGGCAACATTTCCTGTTGTCATATCTCAAAGAAATCACAGACGCCCCCCATTCAAAAAGGTTCTTTTTTGCACAAAAATGGCTAGATGTGTGCAGTGAGTGTGGGGTATTGGTGGACACAAGGAAAAAGGAGACTTTGAGCGTTCTATCTTATTACGTATGTTTTTATCAAAGCCAAAAATAAAGTAAAAACCGAGGAAATGAGTGCTATAAACACCTGTGCAGCACTGCCCCAGCACAGGAGAACTGCTTTTCACCTAAATGCCCACGAGTCCGGTAACAATCCCTGCCTTACGCACATATAGTAATGTCCATCTAACGCTTCTTAGGTCATTACGGAAAATTTTAACTGGGTCCTAAATTCAATGTTTAATTCTGAAAAACCGCCCTGGACATGGTGGTGCACACCTATAATCCCAACACTCCGGGAGTGCTGGGGCAGGAAGATCACAAGTTCAAGCCCAGGCTGGGCAACTCAGACCATGTTTCACAATTTTAAAAGGGCTGGGACGAGCTCAGTGTGAAGGCCTGGGTTCAATCCCAGTGAGAGAGATTAAGAGGGAGAGGGAGTAAAAGAGAACCCATTAAATACAGAGAACAAGCTAATGACATCTAAAGCATCATTGCACAATACAGATGTTCAGAAGGTCTTCATGCATGAGAAATGCTACTCCCCGCTGTAGCCTGGCTACACACAATGACACGGGCACCGAGACGCCTCTCTGAGGGAGAGTCAATATCTTTCTGCCCGAACACGTCCTTTCAAAACTGACACTATGGAAACAACACACTTCACACGCTTCAAAGCAGACAGTGACGGCTAATACTTCTTCCAAGTTCACTCTGCCCAAGACACTCTTCTGAGCAATTAAACATATCATATGAAGCTCACAGTACTCTTTAAAGGAGGTTTCTGCCTTTCAGAACAATTAAACAACTTGACAAAGGTCACAGAGCTCAGTCAGTACACAAAAAAGCCAGAACCAGACAAGCAGGTGACCCGGAAGCCCAGGCTCTTAACCACCGTGCTAACCTACTTCACAAACACAGGTGTCACCTACTTCTTGTGACCTTTTCCTTGAAGGTATATACTCAATCATTTCTAACCCTTACTGAATCTGTAATCTTCAAGAAACCACCAATCACTTTATGTCATTTCCTTACACACACCCAGGTTCAGCCTTGATCACAACCCAATCGTGGTCGGCTGTTTAGACATAATTTGAAATGCAAATGCTATGTGACTCAGAAATTTAAATTTCAGTCCTCAATTTGTGACTGTTTTCAGTCTATTTGACTTCTTCACATTATCATATTACTCAAGATTATTGTGGATTTCTTCATTCTCTTCAAAGAAAAAATGCTCTATTTGACAGATAGTACATATCTAATCTTTCTCTTTATTCAAGATCATTTTGGATTTTTTCTTCCGTTCAAATAAAAAAATGCCCTACTTAACAGATAATACTGTATATGTCCAATCGTTCTTTTCTTAAGCATCTGCTAATTCTTTGTGAGTTCGTGACTTGTGGAAACTGTTTTCAAGCTTTGTTTCGGCCAACACTATCGTCAGAGAAAATGAGGGCGTAGAGTACTGACTTGGCCGATCCAAAACCAACTTTTTCCTGCCCAGTGCAGTATCATGTAGTAGTAGTTACTTGGGAAGCTGAGGCAGGAAGATTGCTTTAGTCCCAGAATTTAGTAACAGCTTGGGAACACTGCCAGACACCATCTCAAAAGAACAAACAACCACAACAAAAAGAACAGAACAAAAAGTTACTCAACACGTTCTCAGGTGCAGCTTTACTACCCACACCTCACCCAAAGTGCACTTGTATTAATACACCGAAGCTGCACAGCTGGAGAGAGACACAGAAGACACCCGGGCCCCACAAAAAACACTCACTAAGATGAGAATTAAACTTGATTTTGGAAACACAATTTTACCTTAGCTAATTCCGCAGACTCGGCTAGTTTGTGTCAAGTACATGTTAAAAAGAAAAGTGTATTTCACACAGAAACAATTACTATTTCCAATCAAACATTAATTATATTTACTACCAGAGTTAAGTCAAGCAAAGCAAAGCAATTACTGAACCTGACTTTGATTCTTTAAATACGCCCTGTGCTACCCAACAGTGTTATTTTAGGTTACACCCATGTTGCTGCCCCCTCACGCTCTTGACTTAAAATGATTTCTAAGTCAGTGTTTCTTGGGACACAAGGCATTTTCACATAAGGTAAGTAAGTTATTAAAGTCTCCTGAAGTGATAACACCTCATGTATTACTCATGTGGAATAAAAATTAAAACGAAAAAATGTTACTAGTTGAATTTATGGTTTTCTTGAATTATCTTTTGTAAAGGAAAAAGTGAATACAGAAGTGGCTGTAAAGACAGAGATGAGGATCTTCGTGCAAAATGAGAAGGTACACTGCGGGTTATCACAAGTGCTGTCCCAAATTCTCTAAAGGTCTCAGCTTCTCTGTAAAACCTGCAGCCTCCTCCAGAGGGTGTGGTCACGTGTCATTCGCTTGCCTCGGGGGCACCTGGGCCAAAACTGTGAGAAAATGAGAGGAGGGAAAGACAGATGGATAAATTCCCCTAAACTACCTATGAAGAACTGGATGAAGGGACACAGTGTAAATTAAGGGTCAAAGTTTGGGTACCCGCTTAGCAGAACAAGTGCCCCCAAAATACATGGCCCCCAGTTTCCAAGAAGGCTCAAATTCATCAAAGCCTCTGAGTCATTTAGTGTGATAATCTGAGCACCATAGTACAGATGCTCATGAAAATTCACTGGTAATGGTGACATTGGGACAGCCTGTTAAAACCGGACATCTGCCCTGGATAAGCTAGTCTACTCTAATGAAAAAGTATGTTTCTTAGCTAGGCGTGGTGCTGTAAGCTTGTAGCCCCAGTACTGTAGGGAGGCTGAGGCAGGAGAATCACAAGTTCATGTCCCCCAGGGCAACTTAAGCAAGACCCCATCTCAAAATAAAAACTAAGAAAAATGGGCTAGAGATGTCACTCAGTGCAAGAGGCCCTGGGTTCAACCTAGACCACAGGGGGGAAACACATTTCTTCACTTTTAACTGAAACTATGCCCACACACGGTAGCAGCATTGGCAGTCTCAAGCAATACACTGGACTCTAAATGCACCTTAGAACAATTTTACCTCGGAGGTACATTAATTAGCCGATACGTAAAAATTTCATACGGAAAAGAACTTCAGAATACAGAATTCATAAACAAAATAATCATGTGTAAAGATTATGAACGGAATGTACCAATAAAATCTAACGCTAAAGAAATTTAAAAAGCGGGGGCTGAGGATACAGCTGAGCGGCACAGCACCTGCCTGGCAAGCGCAGAGCCCTGAGTTGAACTCCAACAAAATTAAAAAAGAAAGCCGGGCGTGGTGGCGCACGCCTGTAATCCCAGCACTCGGGAGGCAGAAGGATGGTTGCGAGTTCAAGGCCAACCTGGGCTACAAAGTGAGATCAAGGCCAGCCTGCACTGCGTAGGGAGACCCTGTCTCAAAAATACCAAAAAAAAAAAAAAGAAAAAGAAAAAGAAAATTAAAAATTAAAAACAGATTATGAACTGTTCCAGTGCTAGGGGAAAAAAAAACACAAGAGCCTAAGACACCTTGTAGTGTCAGAAAGTAAGGAAGCACGCAATAAAAAAGAGCGCGTCCAAAGGGTACAGAGACCGAAAAACGTTCCCAACTGCCACTTCTGGGGCAAGTGGAGCGGGAAAAACAAAAATCCGTGACTGCTTGAGCCGGACTGTACCTCTGCATGGGTCTGCACCAGACAAACGTGGAGAAAATGACCTTCCGCCCGCGCGCTGCGCCGTCTCGTTTGCAGCACCCGGGGTCACCCGGGGTGCGCACAGGCCGCCCAGGCGCCAGCCCCCCGAGCGGCCGCTCCCGCGGGGACAGCTCCCGCGAAGCGCGTGCGAGAGGACGCCCACCGTCATCACGGCCCCGGAAACCGCCGCACGCGGGCCAAGCCGCCCTCCCCGTTCCGAGCCTGGCCGGCCGCCCCTCCAACCCGGTCACGTCCCCGCTGGAGAAATCCACACCCCCGCGGAACGCGCGCTGTCCCGCCGCGAGGAAGCGAGGGTGCGGCCGGCGAGAGGACGCGGGGTAAAACCGCAGCACCCCGGGAAGCCACCTGCCCCTGCAGCTGGCAGCGGGGTTCCACGGCGAAGCGAAACTCGCTGCTGATGGCGGAGATGATGATGATCTTGATGAGGAAACTTAAGAGAGAGCTCCAGTGAAGAAATCGATACGAGATACCCCAGCCAAAAATGCGCAAAAATCAAAGCAGAATGGAAGAGAGTCCAAACCATCAACCCCAAGATCAAAACCAAAGCAGTCCTTCAAAAAATACGAAAAGGCTCCTAAAACACCCAAAGGACCTAGTTCCGCAGAAGGCGTGAAAGCAAAAATGCAAGCAAGTATAGAAAAGGTGGTTCTCTTCCCCGGGGGAAGCCAGCTCACCAGTTATGTGAAGAACTGCTTCCGGACGACCCACCAGGAGGGTAGTCCGGATCTCCGACAGAGGAGGAAGCCTGCGGAAAGTTTCAGCCGTCTGCCAGAATTTCCGTCTTATTTCACTTCTCTAACAGTTGCTATCTGGCTATCCTTCCGATAATGCAAAGTGAAAACCTGCCCTCCCTTGTTTGAGAAACGTCCACCTCCCACTGCCAAGAATGTCTGAAACGCTTGTTTGGTTTCACAAATTCACTCCACCCCCTCCACTTGCTTCTGGGAATTATGGAATGTTCTGGTAAGAGCAGCAGTAGTGGTATTCACACATGGAGATGGCAGGGAGAAAGAAATACACGTGAAACAAACTCAGTGTTTTAATGAACTAAAAAATACATAAAAATCCAAACGCCCACCCGCTACGAACCCTACCTCTGCTCTGACCAGAACAGCGCACTGCAAACGCACACGCGTCCTGGCTGATCTCCACCCTCCATCAGGAGCCAGGAAGCCATGACAGTTCCTCTGCTGAGCACTGCACAGGACACCCCTGGAGGCGGGCGGGCCAGGCAGGGCCTGAGGAAAGCGCAGCTTCAGTAGAGTGGAGGGGCCTCTGAAGGGCGGGAGGCTACCCAGGCTGCAGGACCTCCGGGGGTCACCAAGTCTACTGACATCTTGGCCATGGGCCTGAGACCCAGAAAGAAAAAATATTCCTCTTAATGATGTTTCATGCATGTATCCTATAAAATTAGTGATTTGTCTCATTTAAGTAAATCAACTACAGCTCTTCCTCGGGAAAATACTGAGAATCTTTGGCATATGACAATGACACCACAGATACAACTGGCCACACCCTACCTGCATCCAGACCACAGATAAATTTTATTAGTCTGTACAATATTTTTAAACTTTTTAATTGGATTCCAGTGTTTTATTTTTGTTTTGTTTTGTGTTTTGTTTCTCTGAAACATAGTTTCACTGTGTGATTCAGGCTGGTCTTGAACTCACTATAAAGCCCAGGCTAGCCTCCAACTTGGCCGCTCCTCCTGCCTCAGCCTCCCAAGTGCTGGGATTACAGGTGTAGGTTACCACACCTGGCTGGATGCCGATGTTTTATACTCTGTAAATACATTTAAAAATTAAGATTTCTGGTTTTTCACGAACCAACAAAACTCACAGATGTGGCTGCACTGGGTTAGCTCCTGTGCGGTAAAAACACCACGGGAACCGAGGACAGCCTGCCCCGCCGAGGTGGCGCTGCTCCACTGCTTCCCGGCTCACAAGAGGTGCAGACACGGCTGACACCCGGCCTGCCCGGCTCACGTGCAGTGCGCACCGAGCCCTGTGCCAAGGGGTTGCAGCGTCTGCTGTGTGGAACACATCCCCAACAACTGCAGAGTCTTGGCCTCATCGGCCTATATCTCACTAACATTCACCTTTCCACAGATCACTGTAGCCAACTGTATTACAACAAAACACGGTCCTCCGAATTTCACTCTTTCACTACTGGTGTCCTCTGTCAATAGATCAGAATCACCCGCAAAGCCTGTCAGAGCACAGACTCCTGAGCGCCGCCAGCCGGAACTTAAGACGCAGCAGGCTGCGGCAGGACCTGGGAACGTGCGATCCTAGCAAACATCCCAGCAGTGCGGGCACTGCAGACACACAGCGCCCCCAGGGCCTCCTGCGGGCGTGGGTGGGCTTTCAGAGCTGGCGGGGTGGAGGCTGGGTGGATACAAAGCCTGGGGCAGGAGGAGTGCCGCTGTCCCGCGCGCTGCTGCTTCTGCTCCTGCCACTCTCCGCTGTGTGACGCCCCTACGCTGGGCGGCTCTCCGGCTTGAAGGTGCCCAAAGACGGACTAAAAACTCGACAAACTAGAACCAAGGTCAGTTTTCCCTCCTCTAACTTTAGATGTTGGGCATTTTGTCTCGGCAGCAAGAAAAGTACCTGCGACACACACTCTGAGAAGAGCTGCCGTTCAACTCAGTGATGAGTGCGTGTGAGTGTGCACCTGTGTGTGCGTGTACGCGTGTGCAAGTGCACACACGCACGCTGAGGACTGAAGCGGGGCCTTGGCTGGGACAGGCAGGCGCTCAGCTGCCGAACTGTATCTTCAGTCCCTACTCCACGTTTCCGATTTGAAAATTCTGCAGGATCATTTTGTGTACCTTTCTGCAATACCGCTAGAGCAGCGACGTCCCACAAAACCTGTGGCAATCCCGCACAAAGATAAAGATGGATTTTGAGATACCAGTGAAATGAAGGAACCTCAACCTACTTAGCAAAACAACAACAAATCATCCGGCTCATTCCTTTTTTTTTTACCTTTTATCCTGCTGGGAATCACAGTCACCCAATCAGGTCCACTGGAGTTGATGGGCACTTTAATGTTGACGCCACTTTAAGAGGAATAACAAAAAACATAAGCTTAGATTCAAGGACATTTATTTTCAGGTATGCAACTTTATCTGCAAGTGAAAAAATGGGTATGATTCCACGTAACATTACTATAACATGTAGTGTAAATTCTTAACCAACACAGTAACTACTCAACTAGGTCTTCTGCAATAAGCAGGTTACATGCGTTTATAAACTGAAGAGGAATTAAATAGTCTCTTAATAAGCTTTTACTTCACTGCATACTGCTTACCTGTGTTGAGAAAATAAAATCCAAAATGACTAAGTCTGCTTTGAATTACCTCTCATGAACGCTGAGGACGGCTCACACTGAGAAGATCTAGGTGTCACACTGCAAGTCTATGTCGCATTAAATCACAGCTCAGAGTCTCAGGCCTTCCCCAATCCGAGCCATACTGGGGACCCCTGCCCCAGATGTGCGCACTGCAGTGCTTGCTTCTGCGTTGCTATGACTCTCCACTGTCTGCTGCCCTTCCTAAAGCACGCCATCCTCGCCCACATGGATGCTGCTTCATTCACCTCTGTTACCTTTTTCAGCACTTAACACATGTCCTGGACCACTGTCCATGTTCCACACATGTTTTTTGGACAACTGCATGAAAATCTGAGCAAAGGGGCTGGGGATTTAGCTCAGCAGCAAAAGCGCCTGCCTGGCAAGCGCAAGGTCATGAGTTCGGTTCCCGGTACCGGAGAAAAAACAAAACAAAAAAAAAAAATCTGAGCAAAGTCAGGCTTGGTAGTGCACATTTGCAATCTCAGGACTCAGGAGGCTGAGGCAGGAGGATTGCTGCAAGTTCAAGGCCAGCCTGGGCTACAAAATGAATTCTAGGCCAGTATGAACTGCACAGTAAAACCCTATCTCAAAAAGATTAAAAAAAAAAAAGAAGAAGAAGAAGAAAGAAAAAAAACTGAAAGAAAGTGAAGGCCAGAAGAATACTAAAAACTCAGTACAACTACCTTGGAAACCAAGTAAATAACTAGCCTTCTTATATTTAGATCAAAAATCAGTAGCTAAGAAAGGGGATTTAAAAATAAAAACGGAAGATGCATTATTACAAGTACCAGCTCCACAGGAGGAATGTAGGTATCACATACTGTAAACACGCATTAACAAAAAAGCTGTTTAATCGAGTAACTAGAGAGGATGGCACACACTGATAAGCACAGCTACCGAGCACACCGGGGCAGGAGGGTGCAAGTTCACGACAAGCACGGGCACCTGAGCAAGACACTCCTCCAACAGAAAGGAGGCGTGCAGCGCAGTGGTGGGGTGCTTGCCTCGCACGCCCAAGCCTCTGGGTTCAAGCCCTCGTGCTGAAGCAGCGACAAAACAAAGTAAGGAAGGCTTTAACCCTCTAAACTCTTGATAGGGGCTGGGGATTTAGCTCAGTGGCACAGCGCCTGCCTGGCAAGCGCAAGGTCATGAGTTCGATTCCTGGTACCAGAAAAAAAAAAACCAAAAAATAAATAAATAAATAAATAAATAAAATAAACTCTTGATATAGGAGTGGACAGTCACGATTTTAGTATTTCATCCGTTTTGGAGAAGATGTTCTCATTTCAAAAATAATTTTTAAGCTTCTACTGTACTACAGGTACTGTACCAGACGCCAAGACTATCACAGTAGAGACAACACACGGTAGCTCCTCCCTCGTGGAAGTGACATTCTAATGACGGAGACAGACAAAAAGCAAGCAATGAAAGATGTACGTTGGGCTGGCCACACTAGAGAATAACAGAATGACCTACCTTTGATACATGACATTTAAGAAAGAATATGACTTTTAAGAGAACACATATAAAATACTTCCAGGAGTGTAATAATTTTCCGGTAAAGATATCTGTAGGAAAATTCCCTATAGAATTTCACTACAGAAATACTTAACCTGAATCCAGTCATGTGGAAAAAATTAAACAATAAAGCAGTATTAAAACTGTCCATATCATCAAAACCAAAATATGCTAAAAAAAAAAACAACAACAAAAAAACCTAGATTAAAGAAACAACTAAATACCCTGCATGATCACAGGTCAATGAGCTAAAACAGAGAACTACTACTACGGACAACTGGGAAATCTTCAAGACAAGCGGAGTATCAGCTCGCAGTACTGCGTAGTGTTAAGCATCCCAAATGTGGTGACTGGGCAGGGCCGTGCTGGAGACGCACTCACAGGGCGCAGCGCCTCGGGGATGGCAGCTCACTCTCACACGGTCCAGAAGGAAAACACATCCACACGTTACAGAAATAAAGCCAGGGGGAAAAACATTAGCAATGGCGACTCTAGGAAAAATGTATATGGGTGTCACTGTTACGGGGGTGGGGGGTCTTTGCTTTTATTTGTTGCTTTTTGTTCTTTTGTTTGTGGTGTTGGGGTTGAATGCAGGGCCTTCATAGTGAACTACATCTCCGTCCTTTTATTTTTTATTTTGAAACAAGGTCTTACTAAATTGCTAAATTGCCCAGGCTAGGCTCAAATGTGTGATCCTCCTGCCTCAGCCTCCCAAAGTGCTAGGACTGCAGGAGTATACTGTCTCACCCAACTATAAAGTGTTTTTCTTTTTTACTACAGTTAGAAAGAGAAAAAGTACAATCATGTTAAAATAAAAGGGAAGCCGGGTGTGGTGGTGCACATCTGTAATCCCAGCACTCAGGAGGCTGAGGTAGGAGGATCTCTGTGAGTTTGAGGCCAACCTGGGTAATATATTGATACCCTGTCTCAAAAAATAAATAAATAAAAACAAAAGTGAAATTTTCAGGTGATACGTTCATTCTTTCAAAAGGCCTTTCCTTATACTAATATAGGCTCTTTTAAGTAAAGCACTATCCTGCTGTCCTTTCTGTGTTGAACACTTTATCCCCTTATGGATAAAGAACAAAAACTGTCTCACCTCAGTTGTCTACCTGTCACTGAGGGAACCAAATACTGAGGCTCTGCTTCTAAACTCTTTCTAACTTGGCGAGGCTATGACCCACCAAAGAAGAGAGAGAAAAGATGGTACCAGTTCAACATTCAGGCCGTGAGCGCGAAACAGTACAAAAATCCCTCAAGGAATCAATTTCAATCTTTCTTTGCAGAGACACTGGAATAATATTCTAAAACCTTAGCAGAGCGGGAGAAGAGGAAAATTAATTATTAGGATTGCGTCCGACGTTTGGTTTCCAAAGCTGTACACACCACCTCAAGCACCGCTTCCCCAACGAACTTCCAGACAACACTTCTCCAACGACTCTGCTAGGACCCTCCGCCAGCCAGCCAGCCGCAGCCGGCTCCACAAGCTCGGGCCGGAGCAACACCTCGCAGCACCTCTTCCTTCCGAGCTAACAGGCGCTTACTGCTTTTCATGTAAGAGTCAGTGTCGGGAACATTTTCAATGTTGCACTAATTTAACTCTCTAACCTTTCTCCAACTGTCTTCCACATGGAATTTGAATAAGTTATAAACCACGCTTCTTCCTTTTTGCTAGGGTATTAAGTAGGCTGACAGACCTCTAAAAGGAAGTAACCGTAATCCTCACTACACAGGCCAAAAAAAAAAAAAAAGTGCACAGAAATGAAATAATCTGCTCACAGTCAAGAACCAGCATTTCTGACGTCTGAACCTGAAATCAGCGGAAGAAACTTCTGATGTTTAGAGTCTTGTTGCTGTTCAGTTTTCATTTTGTACCGAGCCACACGACACGCTCAAGGCCACAGTAAACACGGACTGCGGCTCCCTCTGCTGGCACGGCGCGAGTCCACCACGCACGCACACAAACCAACACGGCCAACAGCTGGCGTCCGCGATGGAAAATCGGGGGTTTCATTTCAGGAGTTCCTGCAGACCACTTACTTCGATAGCAACTTTTCCTTTACCAAGGAGACTATTGGCTATTGTGAATTATATTGGATATAAAATATGAAATTCTTTAGGGTGCCCACATGCACTGAACGGAAATAACTCCCCAACAGGGTGTTTAAAAAGTGTATTATTTAAGGCCAGGCATCGTGGCACATGTCTGTAATTCCACCTCTCGGGAGGCTGAAGCAGGAATATTGCTGAGAGTTCAAGGCTACTACATAGTGAGTTCTGGGCCAGCCCGAACTACAAAGCAAGACCATGTCTCAAAAAAACAAAAACAAACCAAAAATGTATATTATTTGATTAAAAAGTTTAAAAAGTTATGTGTTCAAATAATTGTGCCTTTTCACCATGCTGCTTCTATAACTTTTTATTACTTTAAAAAATTTATTTTTAATTTATACACAGTAATTGTACATTTTTATGACATACAATGTCTTTTCAATACATACAGTGTACAAAATGCACACTGACCACAATAGAGTAACTGGCATAGTATCTCAGGCATTTATCATTTATTTGTGTTGGAAACATTCCAAATCCTTTCTACTAGTTATTTCAAAATACTCAATTAATTGCTGTCAACCACAGTTACCCTACTGTGCTACAGAACATTAGAAGTTATTCCTCTGATCCAATGCAACTTTTTATTTCTTGGAATGCTCTTTTACTTCAAAACCATATGGAATACTGAAGAAAACACAACCTCCAATTCATAATGATCCCACACACTCATTTCCCATTACTCCACACACTGATCATTATGCTTATCCTGGTCTTCTCATTGCTGAGACACAATAGCCAACACCCACAAGTTAAAGGAGGAAAGACTTATTTAGCTCACAGTTCGTACCAGTTGCAGTCCATAATCAGCTGGCTCCAGGACAGGGTCGCTTCTAAGAGAACAGTTCCTGCCTGGCATAAGTAGCAAAACAATAAGGGACTTCAAAAGCATCTTTCTGGGGCCAGGAACATAGCTCAGCGGCAGAAGCACCTGCCTAGCAGGCGTGAGGTCATGAATTCGATTCCCGGTACCAAGAAATAAAAAAATAAATAAAAGCATCTTTCCGCCCCTTTGATCTTATGCAGACTACTTAGGGCAGGTAGCACGCACATCCTTCATTTTAGTACCCTTGAAACTAGCATTGCACCATGCATCAATCCTAGTGTCACACACTTTAGATCCACCCAGCTCTGAAAGAGCCCCACCTGTGACTGCATGCATGAGGCTCTGGGCCATGTGTGACACAAGCCGTAACACTCTGTCCCTGGCCCCCCGAAGACTCACGTACATCCCCTTATACAAAAGGCATTTAGTCCACTCTAAGGTGGACTAAGGCCAAAGTCCTAACAGTTTCATCACTGCTGAAGAGTCCAAGACCAAAGTCTCCTCTGAGATTTAAAGCAAACTCTTAGCTGCAAGCCTCCATACAAACGAAAAATTATAGACACTTCCAACACCCAACAGCACAAGACAGACATTTCCATTCCAAAAGTTACAAGCAGGGATAACAAGGAATGGGGACAAACCAAGACAGTTACATGTACGTTTACTTCAGAACTACCCACATACACAAATACGGTAGGTAGTTGTGAAGTAAAACAATTATCAGGGCAAGAACAAAAATTCAACAGTAAAAGGTCTTTAATTTGATCTTGGCTAAGCACTAAATCTCCCTCTGAAAACACTAACCCAAAACACAAATCTGGGCTTGTTTTCTTATTTACCACCTCCTGAACTGGGTCAAGTTGAGAGAGATAAGGAGTGCGTATGCTCCCCATATGGGAGGAGGACAGGGTAAGGGCTTTGGGGCGAGCGGAACACAGAGCACATACCTCTGGAAGAAAGCGCTCTCTGACGCCGTTAGGAGGCCCTTCAGGTATCCGCCCTTGAAATGGTTAATTCTGCTGCTACAAGGGAGCTTCTTGGGCCTGAAGCAGAACCAGGGCTCTCCAGTGTACAGATCTGTGAAGTTACAGAGCGGCAGACTCCCAGGAAGACACACATTGCACTCAGTGGTTTCAGAAATTCTTCCCGAACGGAACAGACTTTTGAAATAGACCCTGTCTGGTTTCTCTTCCTGCAGGTGTTGAAGAACTCGGATCCCTTCACTGGGGTGAACCAGAGATATGGACACTTTAACTCTGCCAGGCCAGAGCAAAGTGAAGAACACCTTGTAAAACCCATTCTGGTAGTCCACCACCCTGCCCACAGCCCCGGCCTGCAGCGCGGGGGAGTGGATCCGGGCCTGCAGGTAGTCTCCGCCGTACTTCTTGGGCTTTCTTTGGAAGTCCTGCACATGAACCAGCACTTCCAGCTGACTTCCCACCTTGAAGAAGGCCGCAGAGTTCAGGATGACAAAGTAGCTAGCAGAAGGACTGGTGCTCTTCACAAAGGGGACCAGGCCCACATCAGGCCCCTGCCACTGCAAGGCAGCCAGCAAGGCGTCTTCCTCCATGCGCTCGCGACTGGACAGGGTCTGGCGCTCGTAGCCACAGTAGGGATTCCGGCTGGCGCCCAGAGCTTGGGACGAAACAAACTGCCCACTGCTGTCAATGAACGTGGCTGACACAGTCTCATGGTCCAAGTACTACAGAGAAAGACACAAGCAACAGAAACCACTGCTGCAACCAATCTCTGCATATTCACACAAACAAATCTCCAGTTCAAATTGTATAAAAACAGAGTCTGCATAAGAACAGTTCACAAGTTTTATAGGGCTATCTTATTGTAACACAATAAAATTAATATGGTAAGTAAATTCATAGAGCAATCTCTACACTTTTGCAACTTTTACCTCCAAGAGCTCTATCAGGTTTTTACAGTGATTTATCAGAGAAAAAAATCCTCTGAGCTTTTGCCGGGGAAAGAGGAAAAGAAACCACTTTGAAATACTCTAGAAGGCTGGGCATGGTGGCACACGCCTATAATCCCAGCACTCAGGAGGCTGAGGCAGGAGGATCATTGCAAGTTTGAGACCAGCCTGGGTTACAAAGTAAGCTCAAGGCCAGCCTGAACTGCATAGCCAGACCCTGACTCAAAAAGACAAGAAAATAAATAAATTAAAATAAATTAAAAAGTACTAGGGGTGTAGTTACAGATTTTAGTCATATAGAATACTACTGCCAAGTTATTGTTTCATATAAGAAATTTCTTGGATGCTGGAATTTTCACTACTAATATACTTTAACTTTGTTTTTCCTTTTTTAAAGGTTGATTGTTTATCCCCCACCTCCTACAAAGGGGGTGCTGGGAGTGACTAATGAAGACCTGGAGTGTTTGGAGGAAGGGGAGTTTCTCAATGATGTAAATCATTGATTTTTACCTGAAGTACATGTAATGATAAGTTATCTCACTTCTCTCACACTTTTTACTATAAAACTTTTCAATGTCTGAGTTATTTTACCTTTAGTTGGAGTAACTTCCCAAGGTTTCAGATACAGACAATTCTTTTGCCAACTAGAATTTTACTAAAATTTAACTAACTCAATTTCAACTCTTTCTTTGCATCTCATAGATCCTATGTATGTCAGAAGAGCTACTGCTATAATTGTATTATAAAAACATGTGACAAGTTTTCCTGAAGTAGTGATATGGAGCTAAACTCGCAAGAATATATTTAAATTGATTGACTACAAAGAGGTTGTGCTCCAGGAGTAGTGGCGCACACCTGTAATCCCAGCACTCAGGAGGCTGAGGCAGGAGGATCTCTGTGAATTCAAGGACAGCCTGGGCTACAAAGTGACCTCAAGGCCAGCCTGAACTGCATAGCAAGACCCTGTCTCAAAAAGACAAAAAAAAAAAAAAAAAAAAAAAAAAAAAAAAAAAGTACTCTAGAGTACTGTGTTCTTAGCAAAGCTTATCCTCAAAAGAAACTGTCTTACCAAAACCTAAGTTTCTGGGTTTTCATGACAGCCCTCTAGCCTTGAGAGAAGGAAAAAACCCAACTCCAGCGCACTGCAGAAGGAAAAATCAAGAATAACTAATGAAGTTTACAGCCCAGGGGTATAAGGTTGCTAAAGGACTAAGCCCCAATGACAGGGGACAGTGATTCCCCTCCCCCACCTCTTATCACACCACTCCATACAAGCCTGTTTACTAGAGGTGCTTTCACCCAGCCCACCGTGTCCAGGTCTCACCAAAAAACTGTAAGGCAATCAATAAGGCAGAACAAGGGTTTAAAGACACAAAGCAAGCATCAGAACCAGACTCAGATATTTACAATGTTGGAATTATCGAACAGGGTTAAACACAATGACTCAGTTTAGTGGTAAAGCACTTACCTGGCATGTGTGAAGCCCTGGGTTCAATCCCCAGCACTACAAAATAATTTTAAGAATTTAAAACTATTTGATCAGGAGGAGAAAGAAAATTTATAGGCTGGAAATGTGCATTTTAAAAAAGGAAGGAAGAATATCTGAGATGGGATAAGTGAAAGCAAAATAAAAGGGCTTTTGATGGGTTTGTTCGTTTGTTTGAGATGAGTTCTCACTAGGTTGCTCAGGTTGGTCTTGAACTTCTGGGCTCAAGCAATCCTCCTGCCTCAGCTTTCAGAGAAGCTGGGACCACCAGCACACAGCATCACACTCAACTTTTTTTTTTTATTCTTAGCTAATCTGAAGGACAACAGATTGCTAACAGTAATAACAGCAAAAATTATGTGATCAGCTACACTTACATAGATACATACGCTTACTTATGGTCATATACAAGTGCAGTGGATGATGGCAGTAACTGAAGAGATAAAATGAAGTAGGCATATTCTGTACAATGCACCTGTACTACTCATGAAGCGGTACACTTATTTTAAAGTGAAGTTTGATTAGTTGCAAATGTATACTGCACACAAGAGGGCAACCTCTAAAAATTTTTGAAAGGAAATATCATTGACATGCTAAGAAAGGGGAGATTCCTCAAAAACCTAACACCAGAAATTCCATTCAAAAAAAAGAAAAAAAAGAAATTCCATTCAACCCTTCTAGGCATCTTCCTAAAAGAGTTAAAGACATCATATCACAGTGACACATGCACACCCACGTCTACAGCAGAATTCCTAACAGCTAAATCTTGGAAGTGGCCTATATGTCTATCAAGAGATGAAGAAAGAAAATGTGACATTTACACCCAATACAATGTTACTCCGCCAGGAAGAAGAGTAAATGAGGCATTTCTGGAACACCGACACGCCCTTAGACCGTAAGACCAAGTGAAATGAGACACACAAGCTTAAATACTGCATACAACAAATCAGTGACGTTCAAAACAGCAAGCAGAGAAAATTAACAAAACCAAAGCTTGTCCTTTAAAAGAAAAGGGGAGTCAGAGCAGGAAGGAGGGAAGGGAAGGGTATTTTTAAAAAAGAACGCTGTATTATGTACACGTACCAACTCCCCAAGACAGCGATAAAATGCATGTACTGCAAACAGGTACTGATGCATAAAGAATAATGATAAAAGCGAGCCGGGCGTGGCGGTGCATGCTGCAGTCCCAGCCCCGGGAAGCTGCGCGGGATGATCGCCGTGAGTTTGAGGCCAGCCTGGACTACACACTGACTTCAAGGCCGGCCTGACTATCATCCCCAGCAGGAGGCCCCCTTGCCTGTAGTTTTACTTTCCACATTTCCGGTACCTGTGGTCAACTGTGGTCTGAAAATACCAAGTGAAAAATTCCAAACATAAATGACTCGTACATTATAAACTGCGCCTCAGTTTTGAGCATCACGATGCAACTCCGACTCCTCCTCTCAGGACAGGATTCGCTGCTTTCTCAGCGTATGACGCCGTGTGCACGACCTTCCCGTCAGTCAGTCAGTCAGTGACCTTCTCGGCTACGAGGTCCCGGCCACAGAAGCGCAGCGCTCCTACGAGGGGCGGACACTGGGCTTGGTCTCAGGCGTCTGCCACGGGGCTCGACACACACCCCACGGGTGCGGGACCTACTCCGTGCAATGTAAGTACTGCTGTCAAAATCACCAAAATAAGCAACTGCACTCTCAGAGCAAAGGGGAGAAGAATCCAGCCATGTGTTTAATAATGCTGGTTTTTGAAGTTTTCTCTTTTCCGTAAGTTCTTTTTAATGCATAAAGGCACTGACGGACACTGAGAAACAGTTCTGCAGTACACATGGAAAACCGCGTACTTTATTAGACACGGCTAAAGCGGAGGGTGAGAAGGGGAACAAAGCAGCAAAGCGAAACTTCCCCTCCCATCAGCGCGGCGCCGCGCTGCTCCCTGCAGCCCAACAAGGCGCTGCGGGTTGGACGCGCCCCCAGAGCGCGTGCGCGGGAGACCTGCTTCTCGGGCTCCTACGCTAACGGTACGCGGAGAGGAAGGCTCTGGGAAGTCATCGGGTCAGGCGGTCGGGAGGGCAGGCCCCCACCCAGAGCAGCGGCTCTAGAGAGGGCCCGGGCCTGGCTGGCACACGTGCTCTCTCTTGCTCTGTGACGCCCTCCACCACGTGAAGGAAGGTCAGTTAAACGCTAACCTGAAGATGCGCCCTGCTCCTGCACTCCTGGAACTCCACAGCTGTGAGTGACATAAACGTCTCTATTTGTAACCTCCTCGCAGGTGTGTTACTATGGCAACAATAACGTGAGCCACGAGGTGTCAGGATCCCCACTTACTCTTAACCACTCCAAGGTTCTATATGTAAAATAAGTACAAGAATGTGTAGTGCTTTTCTTAGATCCTATACATACCCCTCTCATTTTACACTTACATACAAATACTTTCGTTCGAAAGGATCTCATTAAGGACTTCATTTTACTTGTGGTTGTTTTGTTTGAGACGGGGTCCCACTGTGTAGCCCAGGCTGGCCTCGAACTCAGTGATCCTCCTGCCTCAGCCTCCTGAGTACTGGGACTACAGGCATGCACCACCCCGCCCGGCATGGGGTCTTCATTTTAAAGGAGTACACGGTAGTATTGGCGCATTTAAAAAGTAGCATGGGGACAAAACAAAAATGACTCTGAAAAATCCCCTTCACTTCCTGCCTTTCAGGAAATTTCCAGCCCCCCCCTCCTCCTTAGCAGCTGAGAACCTATGCACCCCCCAGGAAGGGCCCAAGGATGCACTACCTGCTCACAATACCCCTCTGCCCATCTTCTACCTCTCTCCCTCTCGTGGTCCCACTCTTTGCTCAGTAACTCTGTCCACTACCCAAGGTCAGCTGACTGACACACACAGTCCAAGCTAGGAATCACCAGACACTCATACTACACCATCTGAATTTTACTTGTAAATGAAAAAAATTCCATCAAGGTCAGTTTGCTTGATTTCCCCAAGTGGCAACTCTCTCTAGGGCCAGTGACAAGGGCACCTTGGGTCTGACATCTTTTTAGACTCAGGCAAAGGGGAAGCAGAGAAACTGTGGACTAGGGCAAACACTGCGTCCCACATCCGTCCCACTGGCTGCCCAGGGAAAACCAGCAAGACCACACGCTGACTTGTCAGCTCAGGGGAACCAGCTGGCATAGCGGTAGCAAGTGACTACTTCAGGGATAGGCACACGGTCTAATTCCACAATGTATGAACCGGAAGAGGTTGCTGAAATCTTATGATTGATTCACGCTTCCAAATTTGCTAGCTCCCC